TTATAGGCATGCAAATAATTATGCATCACAATGCTTATCATTGTATTGTTTATAATAGTAAAAAATTGAAAACACCTTTATTGTCTGTAAATAGATAAATAACACATTACAGCACATTCACATAAGGAAGTCTATTTATTGTTGAGCTATATTTTACTGGTTGCAAAAATTAAGAGATAATGTGTGTGAAAGCACTTTGTCAACTGCAAACTGCTGTTCAAATGTGGTGTTTATTACTAGAATTACACTGTGCCCCTGAAAGGCCCTAGAGACATAGAAAAGCCAATAGATAGTAATTAGACTCAGAACTCTGCTCTCTGTCCTGCTTTTCTTGGTACTAATAGTTCTCAAACTCATTCAGACAACAAAGTACCTAGAAGTCAAAGTATACTTGGTATAACATGGAATGATGAGAAGTAAACTTTATATTATTTTAAAAATTTTTATTAAACAATTTTTTTTTTAGAGATGGCAATCTTGCTACGTTGCCCAGGCTGGTCTTGAACTACTGGCCTCCAGTGATTTTCCCGTATTCCTCCAAAGTGCTGGGATTACAGGTGTAAACCACCACACCCACTGAGAAGTGAGCTTTAAAAGATAAAACGTCACCTTCAGATCTCCCGGCCTCACCCATTGGTGAGTGCGAGTAGTGTACATTTACAGAAATGTCCCGGATTTCAACTGCAGATCAGCATCCTTCTGCTGGTTCTCATGTAATCTTCTGTTCCTGCTGTTCAACATGGCTGCTCTGTCCAGAAGGTGCAGAACAGCCTTTGCTGTTGAATCTGGTGGAACCAGATTCAAACCAAGCATTTTGTCCCAGAGCATACTGAACCCCATGGTATGCAGTCTATTAGACAGGCTTGTGCAATATCATATCTCAGCCTCATCTGTGGACTTTTACAGTTTCTCTTCACTCTACCCTTGGGCTACTGTCTTGCTTTTGCCAACCTCCTGTGCCCAGCCGATGGACACACCATGTACTCACCATTGCTTACCTACCTGGGTCACCCACCCCCAATGCCCTTTCTCTTTTCTGGACAACTGGAAAACTCCTTCCACTATTGTTTACCAGCAACTTAGAGGAGTTTTCTTCATAGAATTGCTATGATCCTACGAAGAACTCTTTCCTTTATTTCAGAACTGTGTTTTTCTGATGATGCTCAGACCAGAGGAACAAGGGATAGTAGCCTAGGTCACGAAAATGGCTGGACACAGCCTCTACCTCAGCAATTATGCTGCTCGGTTCAGGCCACAGCATAATTCCTCTTCTTGAAATTTTCTCTCAGTGGCATGTGTTTCTCCTGCCAGTTCTGTTTTCTTCAGGGATCTTTGGGTCTACTTTTAACAATCATGTTTACCATGTGCTGGGTGCTGTTATTAACATTTTACAAATATCGTTTGTGAGGCAACCTTGAAGTAGGTCCTACTAGTAGCAAACACTCTTTTATAACTGAGGAAACTGAGGCAGGCTAAATAAGTTTCCATAACTCACATAGCTAGTAGGTGGTGGAACCAGATTCAAACCAAGCATTTTGTCCCAGAGCATACTGAACCCCATGGTATGCAGTCTATTAGACAGGCTTGTGCAATATCATATCTCAGCCTCATCTGTGGACTTTTACAGTTTCTCCTGCAAGATTTCTGGGACCCCACAGGAAATCAAGGATGTAGCTGCGTCTGTTTCAATGATCCCAAACATTCCATGAGTTATACTCCAGGCACTGCCTTCTCAGAGCACACAGTGAACTTCATGGGGGTTGCTCCCTCCTATAAAAATTACCTAGTTTTCAAAAACACTTTTATTCCAGATTTTAATAAAGGCAAGCAGTAGCAGGCATCAAAAGGTTAAGAAAAAATAAAAACTCATGGAAGTAAAACTTCTGGTTGAGAAATTCAGTCCATTAGTGAATCTGAAAAAAAGTGTTTATGATTTAAACTCCGTATTTTTCACCACCTTTACAGATTCCAACCTGGTCCAACCAACCGAGTTATTACCCTATTAGCCCCCTTAAAGTGGTCTTCCTTATTCCACTGACCCTCTACAAGTTATTCCTCTAGGAAACAGCCACAGTGACTCTTTGCACAATTCTGCTGAGTCTTTGCTCAAAACCCATCCAAGACTTCCTATCTGACTCAGTGGTCCTAAGATTAGGGTATGAGTACTCCTGGGTATTTCAGTGAAGGAAAATTTTCCAAGGGGTACATAAGTAAGGATAGTTTTAAGGGGATTAATCCATCATATATGTGAGTGTGTAGATACACACATGTATACATATATATATATATAGTTTATAATGCAGTAGTTAAGTCTGTAACAATGAAAAATGGAGTTGACACAGGACCTTGTCTTATCTAGCAATGTTATATGCATTCATGCCTACTCAAACTAATTGGGAGATGGGGAAAGACTCCTAGCCATCTCATTAAGACATTCCCAATGCTTTTTCAGGTTTAACAAAAGACAACGTTTTAAAATACTTTTATTTTATTTATTTATTTTTGAGACAGAGTTTCGCTCTTGTTGCCCAGGCTGCAGTGCAATGGCACGAACTCGGCTCACTGAAACCTCCCACCTCCCAGGTTCAAGTGATTCTCCTACCTCACCTCCCGAGCAGCTACAATTACAGATATGCACCACGGGGCCCAGATAATTTTTTTGTATTTTTAGTAGAGACAGGGTTTCTTCATGTCGATCAGGCTGGTCTTGAACTCCTGACCTCAGGTAATCCACCCACCTTGGCCTCCCAAAGTGCTTGGATTACAGGCATGAGTCACTGCACCCAGCCTTAATATACTTATAAAAATGGATAGTATTAAGCCACTTTAGTGTTTCTTTCCTATTAGATTTAAAATAACAATTTTTTAAATGTCAGTATTACAATACGTCACTTTGCAACTATTTAGACTTCTGAAAAAATTTAGTCAACTTACAATGTTTAAGGGAAGAAAACAGTTTTCCAAAATTATTTTAAAGGGCACAAAAGTTAAAAAAAAATTGAAGACCATTTCTGTACATGACCTGGCCCCCTTAATAACTCTCTTTTCTCATGTCCTACTATTGCTCAAGCCACTCCAACCGCACTGACTCTTCCTCTAACAAGGCAATCATCTATTTCCCTCAGGCCCTTTGCACTTGCCATGTGTTCCTCTATCTGCTCTTCTGCAAGACAGGTTCCTTCATCTGATCAACAGTAGCCTTCTTAATCACCTCTAATTCAAAAGTAGCTCCATTACAGCTTTTACCCCACTTATTTTTTCTTCACAGAACTTACCACTCCCTGGCATTTATTTGTCCTCAATCTTTCTCTATTAGACCGTAAACTCCTTGAATGCATGGAGCTCCTGTTTTGTAATCCCAGCGTATATCTAAAACACTATGACAATAAAAAGGTCAGAAAATATTTTTGAATAAATTTTAAAAAGTTTTCAGGAGGCCGGGCGCGGTGGCTCATGCCTGTAATCCCAGCACTCCCAGCGGCTGAGGCAGGCCGATCCCTCGGGCCCAGGAGTTTGAGACCAGCCTGGGCAGTATAGTGAGAGCCCAGTCTCTTCAAGGCAAGGGTGAAAAAAAATTAGCTGGGTGTGGTGGCGCACACCTACAGTCCCAGCTACTCGAGAGGAGCATGGCCTAAGCCTGGGAGGTTGAGGCTGCAGTGAAATGTGATTGCCTCACTGCACTCCAGCCAGGGAGATAGGGCGAGGTGGTCTAAAAAAAATAATAGTACGTTTTCACATGGTTTAAGGACTTACAGCACCTCACAAATAACACTTTTTTGGGAACACTAACAGGAGACCAAAGTATTTCATGATCTTACCAGTAAAACAGTTGTTGCACTACATAAAATCACCCCAATTTTTTTTTTTTTTCAAATAAAAAGGCAACACTTTCTGAAAACTGCCTTTTTTTTTTTTTTGATACCTAGTTTGGCTCTGTTGCCCAGGCTGGAGTGCAGTGGTGCAATCTCAGCTCACTGCGGCCTCTGCCTCCCGGGTTGAAGCCATTCTCCTGCCTCAGCCTCCTAAGTAGCTCCGATTACAGGCACGTCCCACCACACCCGGCTAATTTTTGTATTTTTAGTAGACACTGGGTTTCGCCATGTTGGGCACGCTATCCACGAACTCCTGACCTCAAGAGATCTGCCCGCCTCGGAGGCCGAAAGTGCTGGGATTACAGTCGTAAGCCACAGCCCTCGACCCGAAACCTCCTATTACCACTGTTGTTAGGGGATGATACCCAGCTCAACCCAGGACACTTAAACTAGGACCTCGGAAGGACGCAGTATTGGTTATACCCGTGGCTCTCCAAACTGACATACATTAGAATCAGCTGAAGGAACTTTTCCCCCTCTGTCAACTCTCTCCTTCACTTCCTGATTCAGCTCTGGGGACTGGCCCTGGCATCTCTGCTTTGAAAAATTCCTCCGTTTATTCTGATAGTAGCAACTCTTGAGAATCACATTAAGAAGATAAAAATAGCTGTTAGGGTTTCTTCCTCAATCGGTCTCTTCAGCCTATTTCTGGTAGATCCTCAGTTCAAAAAGAAAAAGAAAAAAAAAAAAAAAACACAAAGCCCCGCTTTACTGCTCCATGGGTACCCAAAGGAACGCAGCTGGTCTACGCACAGCAGAGACCCAGGAGGCCCGGGCGCTCCAGCGCGCCGCAGCTTTACGCCCGGGACACGCTCGTTGGGGACGGAACCAGCCCGGTTTCTACCCGTCCGCGTGCAGCTCCGCTGTGTAGGAGTTCATAACCAACCCCAGCCAAATGCTACCCAGCGTCAACAGCCTCCGGCTTCAAAACCTCCTTTCCAGCTAAAGGGCCGTGGTACTGACGCAACGAACTGGCTCCGGCCCGGCAACTCTCTGCGCCCGCGTACCGAGTTCCCGCCTCCCTCGGGAGGACGTCTGTGCGTACGTGCGCGTGCCGCACCCGCCCTCCTTCAAACGCGCGACGCGAGGGCGGGGGCGCCGCGTGCGCGCGCGCTCTCGTTGCTTCGCTCTCTCGCTCGCTCTCGGCTGCCGCTCTTGCTGCGGCTGCGGCTGGGGCTGGGGGCGGCGGCGGCGACGCGGGCGGCGGGCGGCGCGGGGCGGTCCGGCGGGTTCAAAGAGGAAAACATGGCGGAAAACAAAGGCGGCGGCGAGGCTGAGAGCGGCGGCGGGGGCAGCGGCAGCGCGCCGGTAACTGCCGGGACCGCCGGGCCCGCGGCGCAGGAGGCGGAGCCGCCTCTCGCCGCGGTGCTGGTGGAGGAGGAGGAGGAGGAAGGCGGCAGGGCCGGCGCGGAGGGCGGCGCGGCCGGGCCCGACGACGGGGGGGTGGCCGCGGCCTCCTCGGGCTCGGCCCAGGCTGCTTCATCCCCTGCGGCCTCAGTGGCCCCTGGAGTTCCCGGGGGCGCGGTATCGACGCCGGCTCCAGCTCCAGCTTCGGCTCCCGCTCCGGGTCCCTCCGCGGGGCCGCCTCCTGGACCGCCAGCCTCTCTCCTGGACACCTGCGCCGTGTGTCAGCAGAGCTTGCAGAGCCGGCGTGAGGCGGAGCCCAAGCTGCTGCCCTGTCTTCACTCCTTCTGCCTGCGCTGCCTGCCCGAGCCGGAGCGCCAGCTCAGCGTGCCCATCCCGGGGGGTAGCAACGGCGACATCCAGCAAGGTGAGCCAGAGGCCCTGCTCCGCGTCTGGGCCGCACGGGATTTGCGCAGCCCTAGAGGAGCTGGGGACGGAGGTGCTGGGGCCTGAGGCTTCTCGGACAGCTGCGATCTCGAGGGGTCTCTGAGGTGAAAGACTCGCCCCTGGGACACTTTCCAGAGAAGCTGGACCGCAAGAGATAAGGGGAGCATGAAGGGAGGGGTGCCGGCTGCGAGAGGCTGGGGGAGGGGACACTGGCTGCGAGGAAGGTTTGTCATGTGCGGAACCCGGCCGAGCGCTGGTTCTGGAGCGGGTAGACCCGCACAGTGAGAGAAGGGGGATTTGGGAAATACGTTGTGAGAAGCGTTTTGGCTGGAAGCGCCCGGGCCAGAGAGGTGTTGAGGGAGTAGGTAAGAGGTAAGGGCAGTAAAGATGGATTGCTTTGGAGGGAGGGGACTTGGCCTGTTCGAAGACAGGAGAAAGGAGGACTGTGAATTAAATGGAGGTGGTTAAAAGATGTTGGAGAGCTTGGGGTACAGAGAAGGCGCCTGTGAGAAAATTGTAAGATGACATTGGGAAGGAGAAACTTGGAAAGTGGACTGCATGGTTAGGGAAAATTCTAAGGTTTGGGGATGAAGGAGAAATTAACTTAGAAGGAAATTGAGTTAGGGAAAGCTGGACATGAATTTTAGTTCATTGTACGTTCATGAGCCCCTAGTGTTGGGGCACTGTGCTAGGATTGAATAAAGTACTCAATGAAGACTTCATTCACAGTCGAGCAGGGGAAACATATAACTTGCAGCAGTGGAGGTGGGTATTCAGTACAATGGCTGTGGCACAATAGAGGAAAGGTCAGGGAAACTTCACAAGAAAGAAAATCCATGAGCCGGTTTCTTGAGGAGTGAATACTTCACTGGGTTGGAGGGTATTCAGGGCCCACGGCACCCTTCTTCATCCCTGGAACTAAAGAATGTGTAAGGTGATTGGTGGAAATTAGATTGGATTGATGGACTGAATAGATAAGGGTTTCACAATCTCTTTTCTCAAACTCTTGGGATCCAGGTGTGTTTTGGACTTCAGAATATTTTGGGATTTTTCTTTTTTCTGGCAAGGTCTCTTATGTAAGACTTTATCAGGGTCTGAGTTAACTCTTTATCAAACACGTTAATGTTTCTGCATTGACAAACATGAATATCACACTAATGGGATAAAGAGACTAAATAGCCTCCCATCATTCACAGTGGGTTCCATTGCAGACTTAGGAAAAAAATTAAAATTTCAAAGCTTTTGAATTTCAGAACTGTAGGTAAGGGATTGTGGAACTGTACTAAAGGGCTTGGAATTTATCCTGTAGAGTATATTCTGGACATTGTGGACTAAAGGATGTTTCTGGAGCACTTTTATATCAAGATGGTAAAAGGATCAGATTTCTGATTCAGAAAGATCACTTAGGGCACTTGAGGGATAAGGGAAGTAAGGCTGGAGACAGGGAGACCAGTTAGGAGAATCCTGGCAGTTATCTAGGTAAGAAATTATCATTTGGAATGGGTATTAAAGGAATGATATCACAAGTATTAAGAATGAAGCATTTTGGTTTGGGGGAACGGTAGGGTTTGGAAATCTACTTTGCCACCTCCTACCTATGACTTGGACAGATGACCTTTTCTTAGCCTCAGTTTTCTCATTTGTGAAATGGGAAAAAAGTACGTAACCTCATAGGGTTATTGAGAGAATGAAGTAAGCTAAAATGTGTAAAGTGATTAGTACGTGGTAGTTACTAATGAAATGGTAGTGTATTATTAATAGTAACTAATAGTAAGTGGCCATGGGAATGGAGATGAGGGGAGTGTATTGAGATTGGTGTGAGGGAGATCAAACTTGTAGAATTCCACATCTTTTTGTTTGGTGGATGGCACTGCTATTAATACATATTCAGACACAGAAGCAGGGCTGGGGTGAGGGCTAGGGTGAGGGTGAGGGTGAGGGCTGGGCTGGAGGGAGGATAAAATGATTTCAGTTTGGGATGTTTTGGATTTGTAGCATTATCGGGACATGGAGGTAAGAATATTAAGAATAAGGTTTTGGTTGTTGGAGAAGCTACCGAGTGTTAATGGGTGTTTAGAGAATAACTGCTCCTGGTCTGTGTACCCATGAGCATAGTAAGACACATAGGATTCAGTGTTCTTGTGGGAACCTGGGTTAGGTGAGAGATTTAAAGGGAACCCAAAGATGCAGATTATGTTTGACTGATGTTGCTGAGGGACTAAGGTTATGAGACTAGTTACCTGAAATTTATGTAGAAGAGAGAATAATATGTAAATCTCTTAATTTCTTTATCCTTTCTTTTTGAAGGAGGAGTAAGTGGAAGGGACTAACTAAATGCTGCCAGTTTTAAATAATAGTGCTTTCTAACCAATATCTAAAACAAATTGAACCTGGAATCCACTATGTTTTTAATTAAAAAAAATTTTTTTTTTGAGACAGTCGCTTTGTCGCCCAGGCCGGAGTGCTCTGCCTCCCAGGTTCAAGCAGTTCTTCTGCCTCAGCCACCCGAGTAGCAGAGATTACAGGTGCACACCCCCCTTGTGGCTAATTTTTGTATTTTTAGTAGAGATGGGGTTTTGCTATATTGACCAGACTGGTCTCGAACTCCTGGCTTCAAATGATCTGCGTGCCTCAGCCTCCCAAAGTGCTGGGATAATAGGTGTGAACCACTGTGCCCAGCCATCCACCTTGTTTTTAGATAGTCTAGAAAATAATTTGTCAGTATTAACTCCTATGTGTACCCTTTGCTTTGCTCTTCAAAAAGATCAAGCTGTGGTGGAAAGAACACTAGATTGGGTGTTAGGGGAAATAGTTCAGCTCCTTAACTGTTTTACTCTAAAGGAAGTTCATACTGTTTTTGTCCCTCGGATTACCTCTAAAATGTAGCTAGTAGTTGTTTACTTATATCTCACTAAGGCAAATAATAAATGTGAAAACGCTTTGTAACTGAGAAATGCTTCAACAATACAGGATATTATTGATCAGCCTCAGATTTTATCTTCTCTGGTCTGGAGATCATAGCTAGGTTTAATTCGCCATCTTTTTCAAGTAATTTTGAAACTGTCATGAGTATCATGCCCTCTTTTCTAACTGACCTTTTCCCTGTTTCTCTTAATACATTTATTCACACTCTCTTGGTGTTCTCTCTAGATCAGCAGCTCTCAGAGTGTGGTTCCTGGACCAGCAGCATCAGCATCATCTGTGACCTTGTTAGGAATGCAGGTTCTTGGGCCCCATTCCAGACCTTCTAACCAGTAGTCTCATTTAACAAGTTCTCTGGGTGATTCTGATGCACGCTTAATTTTGAGAACCACTCTCTTGAATGAAGGGCTCCTCACTTCAGATGTCTCCTCAGAAAGATTTTGACTTCTCATTTTAAAGTAGTCCTCCAGGTTGTTCTCTGACATATCTATTTTTCTTTGTGGCACAGCTGAAATCCAAAATGTTTATTTTTGTTTACTTACCTTTCTCATTTTGCACTAGGATATTGTAGCCTGTTCAGTAAATAAGTTTTGAGTAAGAAAGAATCACTGGAGAGCTTATTAAAATGCTCACTTTGGAGTTTATTTAGAGACTGGTTCAGTTGATCTGGTGATGACTCCGTGTGCCTGCATTTTTAACAAGTGCCCCGTGATTTTGATGCTGGTGGTACCACCACACTTTGAGGAACATGTATTTAAGTATTTGAGGAGAAAGTATGATCTGTTTACCATTGGAGTATCTGCAAAATGAAAATAGATAAATTAGTTAATGTTGAATCTCAATAGCATTTTAAAGTGCTTTTGTGATTTTTTGGGGGGTGCTTTTTCTGGTTGAGGCAGAATAGCTATCAGTAGTATATATATTTAAATTTATACTTTATCGATTAAAATACAGATTTGCTACTCAGAAGGCTGAGGCAAGAGAATTTGCTTGAGGCCAAGAGTTCAAGATCAGCCTGAGAAACATAGCAAGACCCTGTCTCTAAAAAAATATTTTTAAAAATGGGAATCATATTGATGCATCTGAACAAATTCTCAGATAAACTCTAGAAGGAGATGAGGCTGTCTCTGAGATGGACACAGTATTGGTTATCCCAGCACTTTGGGCCTCCGAGGTGGGCGGATCACTTGAGGTCAGGAGTTTGTGACCAGCCTGGCCAACATGGCAAAACCCAGTACCTCATGAAAATATAAAATTAGCCGGGTGTGGTGGGGCGTGCCTGTAATCCAAGCTACTCAGGAGGCTGAGGCAGGAGAATGGCTTGAACCTGGGAGGCAGAGGCCACAGTCAACAGCCTGGCCAACAGAGCAAGACTCCATTTCAAAAATGAAACAACTTAATATGAAAAGTCTGAGATGGCAACAATCATGTGTAAGTGGGAGGGGAGGGGAAACCTCTGAGTGTAGTGTGAAGAACACTTCCTCATAGTGTTTCTGTCTGTTTATTACAAACCATGCTGAGCTACTCTGTTTGAGCCCTTGGAATTTCTTGTCACTGGAGTGTGTATACCATATGACAATTCTAGCCTCTGTGTGACTTAACTGTTTCGGGACTTTTTATGCTTCACTTTCTCTGACCTCTTCAGCAGAAACAAGCTTGAGTGTTTGAATGATCATGTGGTACCACACCAATAGCCAGTCATTAAATATGTGTCCAAGATTGCTGAAACAATTCCTAGCAACTTCTGTCTAGCATGTGGTCAAACTACCTGAATTCATTTTTGAGTACTACTGGAATGACATGGAGAAGTTACTTAATATCTGTAAGTTGGGAGTAATAATTATACCTACGTCAGCATTTTTGTGAGAATTAAGAGAGTTAACGTATTACAAGGTACATTTATTGGAAGCATACATGGGAAGCCCCCAATAAGTTGCAGTAGTGTTATTTCAGTAATTTTTCATTTGTCCCCCCATTGTCTTTATGACTATATCTCACAGTAAACAGAAAGAAGAGGCAGGGGAGTAAATTGTGGTTTTATAGACTTTTCTGATAGCT